GCAGATTAATTTAAATTTTTACACAATTAATATGAAAAAATACTTGTTAATTCTGTCATTAATGGTACTATATGTTTGCGTTGTATTTCTTTGCATTACACAGGAATAGGCATGTGCAAGTAAAACCTATGCAATTAATGTGACTAGGAATTGCTAATATTAATATTTATGAAAATTAAAAACATTTCTTCAATTGAAATCTCAGATGAAAACACGTGTACCTATCACTAGAAATTATATCACTAGAAATTATATCATAGATTTGCCTGTTTCAGTTGAAATGTTCTTTCAAATCTGATTGCATTTGTCTAATGCCAAAAGTTAATGCTACCCAAGAGAACTAAAATCAACTTTACACTGAGATTTTAGTTTTTCTAAAGCACATAATATGGAATAATTGTCTTTCCCACAAAGCCCTTCATAATATTTAGAACATATCTCTTCATTTTAAAAAATAAGCTTTTAATATGTATTTTGGTTTGGTTCTCATAGTTGTGCCTTAGAGAATTTTTCAGTACACGTTAAAAATGCCATAAGAAAGTAAGGTAACTCTTATTATAAAAATGCATTATAAAAAGTTACATATGATGTTTAAATCATAGTTTTTCTGTGTTTTTTACTGAGTAGCAAAAGGTTCTCATTCTTGACCTAGAGTGGTGGTGAGGACATATATTACAATGGACTTGCAGTTAAATCATAGTTTTGATCTTTATTTTTGAATTGATTTGCTAAAAACAATTTTCTACAGTTTTACCAATTGACCACACACTTGCAATTTTCTTCTGTAATTCACTCTTTAGGGGGATTCAGGAGGACCGCTAATGTGCCAAGAAAACAACAGGTGGCTCCTGGTTGGTGTGACATCATTCGGATACCAGTGTGCACTGCCTAATCGCCCAGGGGTGTATGCCTGGGTGCCTGGGTTCACAGAATGGATACAAAGCTTTCTCCGTTAGAATGTTTCCTAAACCAAACAGGAAAATCAGGCAGTTTTCCCATTCCATTCTAAAGAGCATGGAAATTGAGAGTTTTGTAAAAAAATAGTTTCTAAAATTGTTCTTACCTAAGCCACTGAAATGCTAGCGGGGTCGGGGGAGGAGCTAAATTAATCTTTACAATACTAAATAACTTTAAAATAATACATTTTGGTGGGCAGCTCTTCTTTCTACAGTTTCTTTTGCTCTTAAACATTTTTATCATATTCTCTTATTTAAAGGAATGTTATTTTAAAGCATATATTATATACTTAAGACAGCTTAAGCAAAATTAGGAAAAGAAGTGATATAAACTTCTTTGCACAAGGATGTTATTGTTTGAAATAAACTGCTGTAAATTATCTAGTTCCAGCTTAGATTGCTATTATCAGAATCTCAATAGTATTCTTGCTTTTCTATCCAAATGCATTTCCAGTTCATCTTGATCATATTCTTAATGGTTTCCCCACTCATAAAAATATGTATTGTAAGCTTACATCACAGACATGGACAAACTGTACATTCCTCTCAAGCTAATTAAAAAGTAAACAAGCACAAGTCTACATATTGCCCTCATATCAAAATAAAAGGCAAATTAACTGATATTATAATTCCTTTATTGGATCATTTTTTACCTGGATTATTCATACTGTCCATTTAGTTCAAGATAGTATTTTTTAACTTTCAAAAAAAAATCAGATATATCAAAGAAATGCAACTATTAAAAATGTTTTTTTTCTCATAAATGTTACAGTGAATGTTTCTAACATGTGCAAAAACTTATTTAAACACAGCTGAATTGCCCATTTGAAGGCCAAAAATGTGGAATAAATGAATTTGCTTCACTGCTTTAATCTCTTGGATCATTTCCAGAGTAAGTGCAAACTTCAATTGAGCTTACTACACAAATCTATTGACTTATTAAGGAAGACAAAATTTATACCTTCTTAATACACACACATACACACACAGAGAGAGACATACACACACACACACATTCTTGCAAGGGTGTACATGGTCCAAAGTAATAGAAGAGAAAGGTTTAACGGAGTTGGAAGACAGGATCGATCAGTGTAGATTGGCCTATGGAAGAAACAAAACTTGGGCTACGCCCAAAAGGAATGATCATTATTGATAAACTGAGGAGGTGTTGAGGACCATCATGTAGGTGGGAGTGATCCTGAAAGTTCAGCAAGAGGAGACAATAGATAATCATGGGTTGTCATAAAAGACTGCCTCTCTCTGGGGACTGGTCAGAGAAAGAGAGAACAGTATCATATAAAGAAGGCTTTGCCAGATGCTTTGAAGACTATAAATTCCTGGTAACCAATTGTGGAATTTATTCTTAGGACAAAAATCAGGAATCCCTGAACACACTATTCTTTTAAAGACCTTTTCAATTACCTGTTCCTAATTCTTAGGAAGGAGGGAGAAGCAGGGGTATGGTGTATTGTTTGATTTTATTACCTGAAATGTCATTCCACAATTCACCTGCATTTCAAAGCACATATTAGCAGTATGCTCTGAAAATACATAATATTCACAACAGATACCCACACCACATATTCCTTTTTATTTTTCAAAGTTCAGCTAAAATTTTAAGAAATGCTTAGGACAGTCTCACTGCCATCTTCTAATAAGAGAGAAGTTTACTGTCCCACTCTTAGTAACTTATGAGTCCAGTAATTAATACCAGAAGAGTCATCCAGACCTGGATCAAGATAAAAGGCAAAGCCAAGGCCCTTCCCCATCACTTTGCCTCTCCTGCGTGCAGCTGTTACAGTCATGGGTGGTGGAGGCAATGGGGAAAGCCTAGTCTCGTTCCATCAAGTCCTGACTAAAGGAAGAAATGCATGGTGGTAGCCTAGTGGGAAGAGGTAAATCCCAGCAGCTGGTTTCCCATTCTTCCCAGAAAGATGGGTAGCCAAGAAAAGAAAGAGGAGTGCTAAATGTGGGCGGATCTAAGCTTAGAATGCAGCTGCCATTCCCTCAGTCTCTAAGCAGCTGAAAAGGGGCTAAGGCCCACTAATTTCTATTTTGCCTTTTAGTTTTGCTAACTCTAGTTGTAAATTGCCTTAATGAAAGCTCTTTATTATCTAACTGAAAAGACTGACAGGAAAAAGATGAGCTTTAAAATGCTCTATTACCACAAATTCCATTCTTACCACCCTTAAACAGTAATTTGTTTTCATCTTCATGTATTGATGCAAACATATCTGTATTTTGTTCACGTGAGAGATTTAAACAACACTGATGATCATTCTTCAGAAACAAGAACTCTTTATTTGGTTAAAAGGAGCACAGGGACATTTGAAGGTCAGATAGTTACAACTCTCGAGAAGAAAGAGCCACAAGCATTGAAGAAACTAGGAGATAAGACAGAAAGGAGCCCCAGTTTACTCTCCCAGTCAAATGCTCAACAACGAACATAAGATCGTTGATGCCCTCCAGCCCATTTTCACACTAACTCATAGTTTCTTTCTTTGCTAAAATGTTAGCGTGCTGTGCTTACTTCCACAGCAACGTGACCATGCATCTGGTCCCAACTGTAAAACCCCTTTATACACTAATAGAGGCTAAACGGAGCTAGTAAAACGGAGCTTAGCCGAACTATGCAGCTATCTGCCTCCAGTTTCAGTCCCATACCCTAAACAACCCTCTTTGCTCTGTGTGCAAGGGAGGGACCAAATTGATTGCAGAACCCTCAGACAGCTACTTGTGGTTATATAGGCAACATGTGAAGACATATGATTTATGTTGTGTATGCCACTTTTTTGTGTCTTCTAGATTGAGTATATTATTGTTTATATAGTCATTAACAAAGTTATTACAAAATCTGTTGAATTTTAAACTAAAAATAATTGTAAGGCACATGTCTTGCACAATTGAAATTAGACAATTCTTGCCTCTAAGTAAAATATTCGAGTAGATTTATACCACAGTTCATGAAATAGCTTCTTATTTCTGAAGAGATTTCCTACACATCGATATAAAGCAGAGAAACTGAAAGAAGATGAACCATTCTTAGATAAGAAACTTTCTCTACGGTAATACATTTTTGTGTGTATGAATTCAGTTGACAACAGGGATAAATTTCTTAAACAGCATGTACTGAAAAATGAAACACCATAAAAATAAATATTAGAACAGTCCACTTTTATCAAACACTTATGTAAAGGTAAAATATTTTTGCACACCATAAATTTCAATACAATTTACATTACATTAACTAGATCACATCCTATGAAAGGTAAAAGAAACAAAAATAACTTCTTTCAACACACATACTTCTGATGTGTTGATAGCAATTTTATCTGCATGGTCCATTCCATTTACTAGAATTTAGGTGTATCATTTAGCAAAATAAGTATGTCTCACTCCATGATTAGCACAGCGTATTTTGTAAATGAAATAAACATAGAAAAATCACTTAAATATTTGCCTCAAGGGGGAGCTTACAGTTCATCTTGCAGATCCTTTGAGATTTCAAGCCATTCCAAGCTAATGTTCTGATGCCATTCCTTACACAGATCCAGAATTATACAACTCTGTTGTCTGAAGCCAAGTCAATGAATTATTACACTTCCATGCCACTTTCTTTCCTCGTGCTTTTTGAAATCCACAGTGTGGACTGGTTTGGGCTAGTTTTTGTTCTTCCTTTACTGAAAGACATAAGAAGAAGTAAGTTCAATGTATGAGGTTTTTTAGCACACTAGGCTTGTCTTGGTCCAAATGGAGACATCTCAGAGCCTTAGTATAAAAAGGTCCTTCTTCTCTCACCAGCTTATTTTTTCATTCCTACAAAAATTCTAGATTATTCCAGTATGTGAAGGTGGTAAGCAGTTCATATGAAATAATGGAAAAAAAAAAAAAAACCAGATCATTCTGTTTGACGCTTTATAGTTTAGAATTGAGACACACCAGATATGTCTAACACAATGCCATAATTTTCATTGTAATCACCAATAAATTTTCATTTTCTTTGGTCTGTATTTTTTGAAATGTTGCTTTTTGAATATTCTTCCATTAAGATATATGGTATTTAATGCTAAATCATCAAAATAGTGCTTTTGTCCTAAGTATAAAGGCCTTCCTGTTCCCCTCTTTCCATCAGTTTTCCTGTCCTAAAATTGTCACCTAATCCTTGAACCTTTAATTTTGTTTTAGCCTTTGAAACCTAGTTCAACAAAGCAGATTCAGATCTTGATAACTCCTGGGTGTCTGAGTTACCCTAGATCTGAGATTGAACTTCACTCTTACCAGATATAGTCTGAGCCCACGTTTTCCACCTATGCCTTGGGCTGTGCTATCTTCTCTCAATAAACTGGCCACTTCTTGGGCTCCTGCAAAAGCACCTGTTCCTGAGCATATCAAGTCATTGTATACCAGACTACTATCAAGGTCTAGACTCTTTTTGGCTTAGTTTCCTGAGAATGAATCCTCATCTGCATCATTAACCACTCCTGTCTCAACGGACTGCATTTCGCATTTCCTTCCTCCCACAGACACCCTTTCCAATAGCACGCTTTTCAATCCCCACAGGCATGCCTTCTACCCCATTCCATTCACTCTCTACCAGACTTTTCAGATCTCCTTCAAAGAAAGAAAAGAACTCTTCCTAAATGAACCTGAGCAGTATGATTTTACAATATTACTTAACTGACTTCAATTTGTGAAAAGTTACGAATAAAATATTATGTCTAAATTATATGTTTTGAAGATTTGCATCCAAATAAGATTAACACATCTTAATCTATGAAGTCATCGAACATGAATGGAAAATATATCTAGCAAAGTTTATGAAAAACATAAAGTGTTTTTAACGGTAAAAAAAAAAAAAGGTGTTTAAGTTATTAATGTAGCTTTTGTTTTGCATTAGTATTTAATTTTAGAGTTACTACCAGTTCAGGAAATAAGGGTTATTATTTTGAACATGACAGGTAATGATAGAAACCATCATGTGTACCAGATTGCAATTTAAACTTTCTGCAAGTCACTCAGATGATAATGGAGTTGAGTCTTTGATGAGGTTTCTCCTTGCTTTCCTAGAAGAAAGGAAAAGGGGAGGATCTAAGAACGAATGAATGAAGCACTATAGCTAATTCGGCATCTTGAGATACTCTATTTTGGCTTATTTTCTCTCTCTGAGTATTTCAAACTATGAAAACTCCACAGATCTTCCAAGATAGAAAACCTGGAAGATTTCTGAATGAAGAAACTCTCTACAATAACACACTATTTGAAAGAAGGAAAACAAACTTTAGAGAAAACTCATTTGGCACGTTAGTAAACTTTATCTTAGAAATGAGATAGATACATTTCTAATATTTCTAATATATAATATATTACATAATATTTTTCAAGTCATTTTTTTCAAGCTGACTTATAATTTACAGATCTTCCTTAATAATTTGGCTGAGTTATAGGGTTTTACATCAAATTCTACCTCTACTTCATTGCTTTACATAATGATAAATCATCTTTCCATCAACAGTCTTAGGAATTAAGGGAAGAAGCTAGATATTTACTATTGTCTTTATTCTTTACAAAATATTGTAAAACAATTTTAACTGTGTTTCATATGTACATTGGAAAGCCAAGAGGACAAAAGATGTAGTATTAATTTGCCAGGCTTTATTTACTTCTATTACTCAAAATGTCTTAAACAGCCACTAAGTCATGCGTTAGGTCCTTTTCAAAATTTATGTAAACCATTCAGAGTTTACATCTATTTAATTTTTTTCTGGAATTTTGGTTACTTAGTGGATTCGTTAGGGTTTATTTCAGGAAAAGAAGATGATGAAGTAGAGTCAAAAGAGAAAAATGATTCATTTGCAGGTCCTTCCCTGACAGAGGCATTTTCTTGATCAGTTTTCATTTGAAACACTCTGACAAAGATGTCTAGTTTATTCTAGCAAACATGCTCTTATTTAAACCCATTATTTTTTCCCTTTTCATTTGACACATTTATATTTCATATATTACTTTAATTTAATTGACAATTTGACACACATGGAAAAATTTTCCCTTAACTCAAGGAAATGGGTAAACAGTTATAAAAGAAAACTCCTAAGCATCTTGCTGTTAAGATATATCATTTTATTTCAAGATGCTTACTAAAAAGTGACCTCCTGTTATCGTACTTTATTTCCTACACTTAAAAGATACTTTTGAAATAAAACAGAAGGCTATGACTTGAAATTTTGAAAACGTTCTACAAAGTACACTTACAAAAATCAAGTCTTGCATATACAACTTGAGGTCAAGTTTGAAAGGCATACCATTGCTTATACTTAATAAACAAGGTACAGTATGTATAGTTGCATGTGTTGTAAGCTTACAAGCATTCAAATTTCAGATCTACCACATACACTAGCTAGCTATGAGACCCAAGGCAAACTGTGTAACCCCTCTAAGCAACCATCTTCTCAACTGAAAAACAGAAACAGAAGCGTACCTACTTCATTTGGCTTGTGAGGATTAAATGAGATAATGCATGAATCCTATGAAAAAGTATATCTAATTAGATTGTATATACTGGATTTGTACTGAGATACTAAAATGAGAACTTTCTTAATGTAAATTAAAAATATAATTTTATACTAAAAATTTTTAAAGAGTTCTGAAAACTTATTTAAAATTTTTCAAGATGTCTCTACATATATGAATTATTTACCTTTTATGCAGCATCTGGAAACAGCAGGTTCCAAAAGCAACCAGTATCAATAAGAGCAGTGGGATCGTTGGTATAACAACATAAATTAGATTGGGAATTATGCCTACAAAAGTAAAACAGTCTTAGTGTAAAAAGTAGGTTGAGGCAAGATTTGATCATCACGTTACATAAAAATTTTTCAAACATTTAAGGTAAAATAAAATTATTATCAATAAATAGATTCTAAGCAAGGTTCTTCCCTTCATCCTAAATAATCTAAAAACATAATATATTCATGTTTGTTAAAAATTAAAAATCAAATCACACTGTACTGGTTGCCAAGCTCCAATTCTATGTCCATATTTTTAAAACTATTATTATATTTGAAATTCAGATAGAGGCTACGTTGCATAATGCATTAATAATCTTAGCTATCTCACTTCATTAATCCTTCTCAGTTCTTACTTAGAGAAACAAGCACTGATTATTAAATAATAATCATTATTAAAAAATTGTTGATTTATTGGATATATAATTATCCTAACTAATAAGCTCAGTGCCATGATGAAATGCAAGACTCCCTGGGATTAAACCAAAATATGTAAATATTAATTGATGATATAGTTGTAACCCAGAGACACAAGACTCCAGAAGCTTAGAGACTTGATCTTAATTAAATTCTAAAATAAATCATTTTTTAATCTCATCATTTCATAATGTTGGGCATTCTTAGTAAAATATAAAACTGAAGTCCCATACAGCTTAACATGATTTTATTAAAGAATTTTTCCATATCACAGAGGGAAAATATTTTTAATATAATGATTTACTGATATCTTTAGAGTTAGATGTTCTGAATAGTTTTAAAATAAAGAACCTGAAAAGTGAAAAGCGCTGTTTTAATACCATGTCCATACAGAAAAGCAAATTGAAAATTATGCATTTAGCTAGCAAATCAAAAGCCATCATCATCATTATTAATTTAAATAATTCTGGACAAAGTGGACTGAACTTAGACCAAACTATCCATTTAAACTGTACATCAATTCCTTTCTTAATAGAAAAAGAATTATTTAATACAACTAGTGATTGGGTATATTTGGGGGATAATTTGCTATGGTTTCACCTACTCTTGAGCTTCTATCTAGTAAATGATTTCAAGGATTTTGAAAATTCACAAAATACTTTCATTCCTTTTCAAAATACTATCGTGATCCCTTATACATAATACTGAAGAAAAAGAGAAAGTATTTCCTACTCTTTTAAGGATTTTGGATCACCTATGGAAAGATTTTCAGACTTTAGGTCTTTGACAAAAGCACTAGAGTAAATCAATGTTTCTGTCCAATTACCATAGGGCCCATACTAAAACAATATCTGACTAACATGCAGTTTGCATTGGGATTTCTCTGTTTCTTTAGCAGACAGTAGTGTGCTAGAGGCAGCTGGGTTGAGAGCTCACTGTATGCATCCTTTCCACTCCGCTATACAGTGATGTCACTTTGGTACCTTGAAATCGCCAGGGATGATTTACATCACAAAAAAAATTGCAAAGGCTACAAATCAGGCTTTCTATTTTATACCTACCTCACCCCAGCAAATTCTTAAATGTTTAGCAGCACACCAGTGTTTGCAGGCCACCACCGAATGTGTCAATTTATAGTATAGTGCTTACATGTTGTTGGAGAAGTTCCTTGTGGATATGGGTTTTAAAGGGGATTACTTAGTTTAGTACTAGATATATCCCATTGAAGTGAAAATGAGAAAAGAAAATAGGTTCCTCTATTCAAAAACTAGCTGAGCATCATTTGTTCTAACCTTGTTGAAAAGTAAATTTCCATAGACTCAAATTTAGCATACCACTTCACCAGGGAACAAGAAAAGTTGGGGCTAACTTGAAGCAGTTTAAACATGCAGTTTCTGTCCTTGATAGAGGAGTTAAAGACACAGGAACAAATTACCTGCTTCAGTAACAACCACGTTTTGATGGGTGTCTACTGGTTGGTTTGTAAAATAAGTCTTTTCTCCAGGAGCTGTTGGATTAATCTCTGTAGATAATAAGTACATATATCATATATAATGATAAACAAGAGAAATGAAAACAAAGATGAAAATAAAAGTTTATTATACAAACATATAAACACGAGAGTTTTGACTTATGAACAATTTACAGCTAAAAGTTATATTTTGAATTTAAATGCACATGAAATTAACTAACTAGAAAGTCAACATTTAATTATCTTTAAATCAAGGATCCACTTGGTGAATCCTTGCAACCCAAAACTGCATTTAGCAATCAACAGTGTGTCTACACTGGTGACAGCCTGCTACAGGCAATAATGACAAAGCAAGCACAAAGTGAGGCAAAGACAAGTAAAAACTGGTGATCATAAGAATGTGAGCCACTAATTACATTTTAACAAGCAAAGATTATTTTTGCTGATATCAGTGCAATATTTAGGTTTCTCCTCACAATAATAATCAGCAGAAGACTGTATATGGATTGCATTTGGAATTGATGAGTCACATAACAATGTTCTAAAGCACATTTCTGCCTTATGCAAACAATGCCATTCTTAGATTTGCTTTCCAATCATGTCTGCCTCTTTAAAAAATAATAAATTAAGGCTTGTGAAGTGTTTCTTTCCCTGGTTTTATGAGATGAGATCTCTTTAGTTGTCATTTCCTTTAAAAAATGTTAAAATATCATAATCTGGTACTACTCTATCACTTAATTTTTTTTCTAGGTCCTATTTGTTAAATTAATAGTTCAGTAAATGTAAATTGAATTAGTAAGAAAATACTCCGTAATTTGTTTTCATTTGTTCCCAAAATATAATTTCCTGTTTATTTTTGTTAAGTGATGGAAAAGAAAAAAAAAATACATGCAGTCTCATATTACTTTTAGAATAGTAAATCATTTGAATGTAATATTTACTACTCTAATTTGGCCACACAGTTTCTATTCATTGGAAGTCTAATTATACAATACCCTGTAATAATATTTATTATTCTTGTCTACCTATTGTCTATATCCTGACACTTTAATAGCCTCCTCTAGGTTTCAGAGACAGTCCTATCCTACACACATTCTTCTACAGAACCTACGTACTCTATGCCTATGCTCAATTGATATTTGCTGAACAAATAATACAGATATTATGTAATTTATCAACATAGAGCTGGTAATTTTTTAAATCACTTTAATAAACTTTGAGTTAATGTAATTGCTGATTAAGTAACAAAGTTTTAGGAACATAATCCCATATATATTATTTTCTATTGTCTAAGGACAAGAGTATATTATGCAATTTCAATAAATATAAAAATTAGATTCAGATGTAACCCCATAAAAAATGTCTTTAGATATGATGTTGGTAGACCTAAAGAAGAGATATGCAACTCACAGGACAATAACAAAAAAACAGTGGAGAAGAGAGTGAGAAAACTCGGAAGTGAATAATTCAGTTTCTGCATAGCTAGGTTAAATTTTACCACTCTGGATGTCATTACACGTGCTATGTGATGGTGTATGCGAGCAGAAAGAAATGACTAAGTTCAAATCACACAGTAGTCCTGGTGTAGTTGAAGAATAAAGTTCTAAACAATTAGTGTTACAATTTGTAAATGTTAATTAGCCCCACTGGTTAATTCTCCAACTCTCTCTCCACTAAAAAAAAACTAACCACTCACCACTAATAGAGCCCTGATTCTATAAACAAGGAATTTAATCAAATCAACATCCTTCATAAATAAAACACTAAGCTCAAGGAAGGTTAACTAAAAAGAAAATAAAGATGAAAATACTTAAAGTAAAATATAAAGAATAAAAAAATCTAAGTACATTAAGATCAACTGTAAAACTGCATGTGCTTCAAAAACAATAAATACATAAAAGAATCTTGTTCACAAAGTATAGATATTTGAAAATTTTGGTAGAATACAGAAGATAAAGGAAAAAATAATTTTATGTCTGCAATGCTCTTCCATAATACAAACCTAGATTATTTAATACAAAACAAGTTGTGAAGATCCTGGGGTTAACAGCACCCTAAATAATGTGGTAACTATTAAGGCAAAATAAATAAACAAATAAATAAAATAAACAGATGTACTTCGGGTCAAATAGTTTATCTAAAAGCTCAAAGAAGACAATACTGTCCTCAGAAGGTTCTATAATATACTTTGTTTCATTTAATAGTTTTGAGTACACACTGTTGCAAATTTAAACTAAGAATTTCAACTTCATATTTTTCTAAGAAAAACATAAAGACAAAGAACAGAAGAGTATAACAGATTAAGCTTTGTAAAGGCTTCTAGGAGGGTAATGACGGATTTAGCAACCTAGAGGTTTAAAGAATAAACTCACCAGGGACATAGAAAGTTGGCTAATATACTCAAGAGCAGGATAAACATGAGAGAAGAGCAACTCTAATCCAAATAATTCCTTGTGCTTTATGGTTTTATGAGAAAAGGAATCATGTAATTTCAAGAGAATAATGGAAAAAGCAGTACTTGATTATAATTGCCTTCCATGAACACATGAGGTCAAGCCTCTCAGAAGAGTTAAAATGACATTTGCAAACACTGAGAAGGAGACAAACAGCAGAAGAATCCCAAAGCCTAAGTATCTAATTTGACTTTCTTAAATGATTTTTAAAAATGAGTTTCCACCGTTTCAATGAGTCTCTTTTGGCCAAGCATCAATTCTTTTGAGCTGTCTTATTCAAAGTAATTCAAATTAACTATTTCCACAGGAAACCACACTGGTGTAGTTCAGGTCAACGTGATCATCCCCTTTGCTGCACATGGCAACAAGTTGGAGACTTCAAACACGAGCCGCTTAAGGAAGCGCATTTCAAAGAATGAGGATCATAGGAAGAACATGGCAGATGCCCCTACTCTTTTTTTCACTATGGTTCAATGAGTTATGACCCACTCGACATTCATTGAAGAGCACGTGACAAGTATCGTGACATGAAATGATAAGCCAGTGTTCTATGAAAATTGCCCTGATAACTACATGTTGCTCGGATGTGAGTCCATAGGTTCCTTGATGATGTGTACCTGCTTCACACATTCTATACTATTTAAAACATTTAAAAATAGATATTTATTTTTTCATAAATTCTATTTACAAAAACACAATTTGACCTTAATGTTAGAAATGATTCTTTTCCCTTAAAGTCACTTCTCCACGTTTCTTGTTACTCCCTAGTGACTGTAGTTTCTATTTCTAGCTACTCTAGTTTCTATAGTTTCTAGTTGCTTTAGTTCTATTTAACTCATCAGGCAGTTTGTTCTATAGCATATGGTGTGCTTCAGTACACTGAGTGATATGAGAAGCTGCAAAGTAATGCTATTTTCATAGCAGAAAAACAAAAGGTAGTGAATCTTAAAGATAAAACCTAAAATCAAATGTGCATAAAATGTGCTGTACCAGCTTACAACACTTTCTACCTGGTTCATACTTGCAGATGTAATTGTGCTTCATGTTGCACCTGTCATCATTCCACTGGTAAAGGTAAGGGCCTCCGAGGCCAGGATTGGCCGTTGGTTGATGATACATCACCACACACTTTTCACTTCCACAGGAAGGTTCATCCGTATACCAGTTTCTGCAAATATAGAACAGCAGGAACACTTATAGGTGATCTATGTGATTTTACCCCTTCTGCCCTGCCATCCTCTCCAGGTAACAGAAATCTCCTTTTGCCCTTTCGAGTTCTCCATAGCATATTTGACTCTCCAGGACCCTACTCACCGGTACTGGGAACCGCTTCCATCAGACCACTGGTAGAGGTCTGGGCAGGCACCAGATGCTTGCCCCTCTCCACTTCTCCAAAGCCCTATCCAGAAATCACCATCAGAAATCCCTGTTCCTGGTTTTGTCAGGTTTTGCAACATGCTTTCTATTAACTTCTGTTCTGCTTCATTCTCAAGGGTGAGAAGGGCTCCGCCCTCACTCTCACAAGCCAGGCGTGCCTCCTGAAAGCTCACTCGACTGGACAGTTCATGGAAGTAGGCCATTTTGTAGCAGGGGTGCTTGAAGTCAGCAAAACACACTTTTTGGCCTGGAAAAAAAAAAAAAAGGTGAAGACGTAAATACATAGGCAACAAAACAAAAAGTTTGATTAAAAGAAGTCTCAAAATTTAATTTCGCATACCCCTACACGTATATTAAGCAGAATGAATTTTCCTGATTACTTAGTGACATAACTACAAACGTGCATGAACATATCGGATCATGACAGAGTATAAGATTTAGCTAACTCTACCAGCAATGAAATTCCTACTGTTCTATTGTTTACACCCTCCTGCTTTTACCACCAAACACATATGCCAAGATTACAGAGGCAATCTTCTGCATGGTCATGCTGTTTTGTTTTGTTTTTCATTAGCTTCTTTGGTTCACTTCTCATCTCTGCTGTCAACTTTTAAAACTGCCATGAATCCTCTGTCACTATTCCTTATTTCCAACCTGCTGTCCATGGCCTCCACTAATCGTTCTCTGATTTCAGCTTAGGTTTCGCCTTGGAAAACAGACTATCTTACTATTTTTACATAAAATTAAGTTAAATTGCTTTAGCCTAAGAAATTAACTGTTTTCTTACGATTCATCTGCATGAAGATTATTCTCGTTGAGATTAAAGGCTTATTTTCACTATGTATTTAATTTTATAGCCAATCAAGAAAACTTGTCAGTAGTGGAGGGCTGGGCGTGGTATTATACTTAAAATACTGGCTAAAAATTATAGCATTCAATCTCTGTACTCTTAATTACAGTACATCACACTAAGCCAGTGTTGGTATCATACCCATTCTCCTCTAGAATCAGCAATTAATGACCTGTGATGACAGTCATGCAGGAGGGAGCAGAAATCAGCAGAAGGCTATTAACCTCACAACAGTGTTTGAGTGATAGGCACTCAATAACTTGACACAAGCTGAGAATAGCCAACGAATAGAATGGCAGGTCCAGCCATGCAAGCAAGATAGCTAGTTGTCCTCTCTGTCTCATTAACTGATCTAGACCCAAGAGCAACACCCTGAATAATATGAACAAATTAACAGACTGTCTCAACCAATTATTAATAAAAAATAACAATCTAGTATGAATGACCACAGGAAACTGGAATTAAAGAAATTTCAAATGGACAAATCAGTCTGAAATAAACATTCCGTGAGAGATGATTATGGAAATCCCATTGGTTGATTCTAATACAATTATTTTTTTTTAATTTCTCTTAATTTATTATTAGGTTTTGTGATGACTTCCTTATTTAAAATTGGTTTCTGGTAATAGTCTAACAATGCCATTAAGCCTAGTGATGTTTATGTCTACATTTTAAAATCAAGTTCTGTTTCCATTTTCATCTTCTACATCCTCTACATATTTCTAAGTCTCAAAATATCTCTTAACTGCATTCCCTTGTGATTTCAATTTGTTTAGTTCTTCACTCCAAGAACTCTCAGACTTGGATTTGATTCCATTTTTAAAATATTAAACTTGTCCAACAAGATTGTTTTGCTAAATGTCAAAAAGCCAAAATTAAAAAAAAAATTAGCCAGAAGTTTTAATGAGCAAAAATTATTTATGTAAAAAAGTCAGCACAATTCAGAGGATACATAGGTATTATTTATATGCTAAAAGTCTATGTTCATTATCTTTGATAAAGTAAAAAATAAATGTAACACAGATTTATTATTTAGGGTTAGGATACACAAATGATGATGAGAACTAACTTGTTTATAAAATTAATATAGCACTTCTAATTAAACGCATGAGAGCTCTAAGTGTCATGAGGAATTCCTAATACCACTCTTAGGTACTGGAGAGTTTAATCTGTAGATTAATGTTAGTCTGTAGAGAAATAATAATAATAAAAGAAAAATCCACAAAGGATTATATGTAAAATAATTAAGAGCAAATACTGCATAGGCCCTGGACAACAGCTAGCCTTGATGCTCACAGTGGCTGTAGACGTTGGAGTGGCCCAGGGGTCCTGGGGGAGGGGGTGGAAACTGTGGTGGTTGCATCACAGGGGGCCTCTCAAAGGATCAGGACAGTGGTCACTTACCAAGAATAGAGAGATATCAACTCCAAAGTGTATTGTTTGATCATCAGTTGCAGCCATAGATTTTGAACTGAAAAGTCCCTAGCAGTTCAGCTTGCAAGGCAGTTTTCAGAAAATTATAGATACACTGCAGTTTTATATATATATACACATACATATATATTTAATTAAAGCTGACACTGTGAATTTCTTTACATTCCATTATATTTCACTACTTATTTCCACTTTATTGTGCAAATTTGGTCCTACTTGCAGCAAAACCAGCCAAAGAGGAAACTACTGAATTGCTGCTCACTGTCATTTCAGCTAATCGCATTTGGCTATAATCGCAGTGGAACTCCAACAGCTGGGAAACAAATGTTGCCCTAATTCCCAAAGTTTCAATAATATGGATCTTCTGGAAGCAACTTATCCCACTTCTGTAAAGGCCAATCTTCCTAGAGAACCATTACGATTGCCTCCCTCCTCATTCTATGAGATCCCAGAGAGAATTTCCTTTCCTTCTACTTTAAAATAATATATTTGGATAAAATCGTTCATTGACTATTTTGAAATATAGGAATTCTAATCTTCCATCTATTACATCTACTTCCATCTACTACATCTAATCTTCCGTTCTACTATTCTACTGTCCCTAAAATATTCAGATAAATATTCAGATAACCATGTAACAGTTTTTATTACACAAAGATTACCTTGATATTGTCTAACAATAATTTACTAAATGTTACCTAACATTTATAACGAGAAACATCCTTTGATTGTTGGTTTATTTACGAGAGAGAGAAAAGATCTTCTATCTAGGAGGCTACTCCTATTGGCTTCATACACACACTCACTCACACTCACACACGGCTACAAATATCCACATGAACTTTTATTTAGAGAAAATTTGCATCTTGCCTGTCACAGCAAGACCGATAGATGGTTTTGCCTTTTTTCTTAGTCATGAAAATGCCTGTAGAGTTAAATATTGGCAGAGTTGTAAATGCTTTTAGCAATGATATAAAAGTGGGGCCAAATTCATAAATGCATGGCAGTTTACTTTTTTCTTCCTGAATACAAAGGATCTATAATTTGGTTTTATTTTGTTAATGTTTATTAACTTTCTGACAGTTGAATCCTCAGTTAGGAAAGTAATATAATAACTTGTCTCTTATACCCCATATTATAATCGTATATTACCAACATTAAATAAGTATTGAATTCATATTGCATTTTTTTCAATAAAAATGTGTAAGACATTTTGTAAATTCTATAGTTCAATTATGATCTACCCTTAGTTGCGAAGAGAAAGTTGCACAAAACAGGATCTACATGATAAACCCAAACCAAACTGACTGGACTTTGAACATTTTCCCAGAATTCCACAGAACAATTTGTTTTTCAGAATTCTTTCTAACTCTCCCAAAAGTCACATTGATAAATATGCTGATAACTATAATAAACAGTGTAACATGGCCTATGATAGTACTGCCAACACCTTAGAACTACAAAAGAAGAGGTGCTATTGACCTTGTGTTCTGCTTTCAGTGTTCTATATTACAAAACTTCTTAGGAATTTTCCCTTATTTAAAAATAAAAAAGTTTTCTTATAATAAACTTTGTTTTTGCAACAGAGATTTTCTAATGCAATTAACTGCATAGTGCACTATTAAGATTGGGCTGGCATCATTTTTCTGACATTGGTAAATAAAATCAAAACTATCGTCTTGGGTCTATAGTTTTTATGGATGGTGGTGGCAGCTGCAAGCTCTACCTCTCTGGCTAGGAAATCCCACAAGCTTCCTAACAAGGGACTAAGACACATTTTCTTAAAAAATCTTAATATTTAAATTTGAAATCTAAATACAAATGGTAAAACCAAGTGAAGATTTCAAGCATTCGATCAGTAAGAACTGGAATCCCATAGCTATACTTGAACTGTGGGTACTTTGGGGACATTACTTAAACTTTCCTCACCTGTTTCCTTACCTAAAAAGTGAGAGTGGTGATAAGTTTTAAAGAAATAATGATGCTAATAATAACAGCTTGACATTTATCAATAGTTTCACATGCAGGGCCTCACTGCTAGCACAATCCATGCCTTTGGGTAAATTAGGAAAAGATGATCTCTCTTGGTGATAGAGGCTGTTCAACTAGAAAAAGGCTGTATTTTCCTCTAGGTGGCCTCAGCTCCAGGCACAGCTTCTTGGCATGCACCCTTGCATATGACACGACCTGTACAACTGTATTCAAACCCCTTTAGCCTTCCAACGACCCTGTGCTGTCGTGTTCTCATCCCACTCTTAAAATAAAGGGAGACATAGAAAAGTTAAACAATTTGCCCACATTCACAAAGTCAGGGTTTAGAACCAGGCAGTCTGGCTCTACCGTTCGTCATTTTACCCAGATTTTCATGCTGCCTCCATATGTGTCCAAAATATAATAATTTTCTAAGGTGAAATATTTTATAAACAGTGGGATTGATGTATATATACATTATTCAGATTTTCTATGTTATAGTTATTAGCATTGATCCATTAGCGACTCTTGGATGACTAATATATGCAAGGAATTGTGCCTTGAGATTTTATCTCTATGCAGATTGTGGATTTTCTATTACTGAACTTTTAGACTCAGGATTAATATTGGAACATTGATCTCAGATTTTTCAGACCATATATGTCCTTAATGATAGTTTTATGTAGCCATTATATTTTCCAAATAAAACAAACAAGGCCCAAACTGATTTTTTTTCACAACTACAAGGAGGATAACTTTAGTCAAGTTGTCTGGCCATGTTAATCAGTAATCTGTTAAAACTTTGAAAGAAACCATCCCTCCTGGCAGGTGTGTACATCTATCCCCCTGTATGTGAAGTGCCTAGCACAGAAGGCCATTGTAAGAAGTAAAAATTGTTAGTGAGAACATCAGCTGGATTTCTGGTCTGCACCACTTTATGTAAAACTGCCTATTTTTAAGTGTTAACGGAATAGATATTACCATCCTCAGGA